GTCCTTCTCCACGTGCTCCAGGTCGTTCATGAACTCCTCCTCAATGAAGGCCAAGTAGCTCTTGAAGAGGAATGACCATTCAGGCCACGTGGACTGCTCCTCATCGACAGTCCCTGGAGACCATACTTCAGGCTTGATCAAGGTCCTGGGATCAGCCTTGCTGCTGTCCCTCTCTCTTTCCTTCTCTCCAAGCTTCTGGAGAGTCTGGGCACAGACTCGCGTGAATCCATGGAGCTCAGTCACAACTTGCTCCATCTTCCTGAGGCGACAGCCTCCTCTACCACCAGTGAACTTGCCGTGGAGGTAGCCACTTGCACAGATTGCTCTGCCACCAGCTGCGCTGCTGTGAAGCTGCCAGCTGCTCTGCCCACCAGCCGCGCTGCTGTGAAGCTGCCGGCTGCTCTGCTCACCAGCTGCTATGGCTCGTGAGGCTGAGGATCGGGTCCTGTCCTCTCCATGCAAACGGGATTGGGTCCTGTCCCTGGAGCTCACCTGAGACCAACTGGAATCAGGATCCTTGCTCCGCTACCATCTAACACTTCACGCTCTTTTCGCTTGAGCGGTTGCGGCCTGTAAAGACCAGGTGTGTTGTCATCTCGACATGTGACTTGCACATGGAGGTACTAGTGTGAACATCTCATGTGAAGAGTGTTACAAAAAAACAAGAAAACAAAAACAATATTTAAACAATCTCAAAAAATCGTGAGACTTTCCTGGAACCAAGAACCAAGATTGCACAGAAAGTCTTGTAGTCAATCTTTGTTCTTGGTTCCAAGAAGACCTTCTCATCAGAACCAAAAAATTCCCCAAGACTTTCTGTGCAATCTTGGTTCTTGGTTCCAGGAAATTCTTAAGATCTTTTAAGGAACTATTGTCCCCGAAGACTTTCTGTGTACCGTGTACCTGTCAAGAACGTAGTATGTGAATTTGATAGAAGTACTCTCAATATGTCAGTCAGTGCGAAAATAACTCAATGTGTGAATTTAAAGATCCAAAATACTAGCTATAGTCAGTTAGTGATAGTGCAACCTATGTTTTCCTTCTTCTCCTCCCCCCTTCTTTTTTGCATTGTAATGTGCACAAATAATTGTGTGATTTGTTGTGGTTCTTTGTAATATTCACAGTATTTCACAGTTGTATAACATTTGTTTAACTCAACATGTCAGGTGTAAAAACCTAGTGCAATAGTGTCAATTTATTAACTCACAACTCACATGGTCAGTTGTTTTTATCAACTTGCACATTTCACAAATGCATTAGAAATACAACTAACAGTGTGAACTGCAGCAATTATATGTACTGTAGTATTGTAAGTTGTCAAAATCACAAGTGAGCCTGTCAATTGTAATGTTTATCCGTGATTGTCACAATTGTCAAATAATCATCAAAGTATTGAGACGTTCAACTTCAATGTGAGCGTTTTCATCAATTTTCATTCTTCCACTTGCATGAGATACAGTTGAAGGTATGAGAAGGCTAACACAATGTATATTATCAATTGTCACTTCAATTGTCTTCATCAAATCTCATTTGCACAGGTGCATTGTAAACGCGCCACAACTTGGCAATATGAGTTGCAATCTTAACATATGGTATTTTCATGCACACAAATAGTTTTGTGAATTTATGTGTTACCCTGTGGTATTCACAATTATAAAGCATGCAGGTCCATGTTCTAGTTGTGCTAGCCCAATGTCTGTGACTGTCACGCACGTATTCTGTTGATTCCGAATTTGAGTTGTTTAAGTGTAATGCCACCGTGTAAAAACAACGACAAACTAACAACTCATATAAGCAGTTGTTTTCATAAATTATCATACGCGCAATTGCACTGGGTGCAACTGACAGTATGGATTGGGGTGTTGATATATAATGTTGTTCATTGTCATGTGCACAATTAATTCTGTAAATTGTTATGTCTCTTTTTGTCTGGGGTCTTCACACTTGTACACCATGAGGTTCATACTTTGAAGTGCAAGTCCAATGTAACAACTTGAGTTGATAATAATGAAATTCACATGATCAGTTATACTCACTAACCTTTACATTTGCAATTGCATTAGAAATTAGAACCTACTAAAAAAATGAATTGGAATGTATCCTTGTTCTCCAATTACCCAACCTGGAAAACATATGTCCTTATCTGTGTGCATTGGTGAGCCGTTCTGCTAATATTAACCCATTTATATCACAGGACAACACAGGGTAAAAACCATGCTACACTCAGCCGCGGAAGTCACGGCACACTATGAAAAAACTTGTGTTCCCCGATGTAAGCGCGACGCCAAGACGGGGGTCCCGGCATAGTCCTTGCAAAAACGTTGTTCCCGCATGTACTGTAAACGCGATGATTTTTGAATGTCTTTGGCGCGTTCTCCCCAACACAGTTCTCATGTATTCAAAACACTGTTACCGCATGTAAACGCGATGATTTGGCAATGGTTTTGATGTGTTCTGAAGCTCCATCCGAAGCACAATTTTCGTGTATTCACAACAAGCTTCTGGCATGGAAACGCAATGATTTAGCAATGATGTTAATAATTAATCTCCTTGTGGTCCCTTGACATCTCTTTGGACCAGGCTCTGGGCACTTTACTTGAAACACACAAGTTGCAGAGGGGTATCGGAACGAGGATGAACGAGAGGGTGACCGAGGTCAGAACCCGTGCCACCAAGGAAAGCCCTCAGATTGAAAATCTCTAGTTACCTCATCATGTATATTGCTCTCGCCCCTGTCCTTCTTTCTTTCTTTCTTTCCTTCCTTCCTTCTTTCTTGTCTCCCCGCTTGTGTGTGTGATCGGTGTTTTGTCTGCCGCTGCTGCCTTGTCTCCTTACTTGTTTCCCCACCTGCCTCCCCACTCGTTTGCCTGTGCGATCGGCGTTTTGCTTGATCGTCGTTTTGTTTGCCGCTGCTGCCTTGTCTTCTCCCCAACTAAACGCAACATCGCCACGACTTCAACATTTGAGAGTAGCAAACCAAACAGGTAGATATTTTGGGGGGTAGCATATATATATATATATCTGTGTGTGTGCACCCTTGCACTGGGAGCAGGAATATTGCGGCAGTACTTTACCGTTCCCGGAGGTGAAGAAAGGCACACCCTAGGGCCCTAGGGGAGAATTTCATCTCAAGGCAGGACTTCAGTGTATCAGAAAAATGTCTCAAAGATTGGACGTCGCCATCTCATCTCCAAAACAAAGGGCGGCGGCAGGGTCCAATCGGAGACCAGGGACGGAGACTGGGGGGGGCCAGGACCGGAAACCAAAAACACGGGATCGGAGTTGCGGGCTCAGAGACCAAAGAAACAGAATCGAAGATCTGGCGAACCCAAACATCCAACCCGGATGGGAGACCGGCAAGACCGGAGACGTGGTGCGCCGGCCGCAAACCCAACAGTCCAGCCCAGATCGGAAACTGGCAGAATCAAAGACCAACTGCGCGGGCGGTCTGCCAAAAGCCCAGCCCAGATCGGAGACCAATCAGGACCGACCTAGTGTCAACATTGCAGCGCATCTCTATGCCTCGGTAGATTATCAAAGACTTCCAGTGTTGAACCGTTTGTACATCTTTCTTATTTCCTTGGGGCTTAACTGTTGTCACGATCCAGAGGCTGGCACAGGTGGAAGGCCGAGGTAAACTATAGTCTTAACAGGGGGGTTATATAACAGTTAGAAGATGTTAGAAGTTGCAAGGTGTCTGGATACCTTCCTCCTGGCTGCTATGTTCGCCTTGGAAATAGGAGAGACCAGCCAGGTTACTGTGGCGACAAAACCAGTAATTTGGCCGTTTGTCGCCCCGGTAGCCTCTTTGCTTTTTGCTATGACCAGAGTGGGGTCAGAGTGAAATCTTAATCTGAACGCTACCAGCAGCACTGCAAAAACACAACAGGCACCAAATGTTGAGTGAGGTGGCCGGAGTAAGTGAGACACTAGCCGTGACTTGAACACTTCCATATAGAAAATGGTTTAACATCCACCTGCATTCAATCTGTGAAGCCTTGTCGTCAAAACCTACAGCATTTTGATGCATTTTGCGATCACAATCCGAAGGCTCCCACCGCTCAACGGTAAATTTAGAAGAGGCGGGTGCCATCCCAGCGGCGCAAACCCTTTGTGAGCGACCCGAAAGCAACATTTAGAAGAGGAACCTTTTGTGAGCCACCCGAGGGTAAAATTTTGGATGAAGCAAGCGCCATTCCAACGGCGCGGACCTTTTGTGAGCAGCGACGGGATCAAATTTAGAGGAGAAGGCCATGCCAAGGTAGTTAGTAGCAGACCTTTTGTGAGCCGCCTGAGGGCAAAATCTACAGGAGGAAGGTTGCATTACAAGGTAGCAGACCTTTTGTGAGCCACTCGAGGGTAAATTCAGATGAAGGAGGTGCAATTTCAACGATGCGGCCCGCACGAAAGTACAATAATTTAGGAGAAAAAGGTGCAAGTCCAACAACCTTTCGTGAGCCACCATTCCAAGGTAGCAAACCATTTGTGAGACTGCACATGCTCGCAAAATCTGGTAGGCTGGCACGGGTGCTCTTCGAGACTGCGCTCTCCTTGTGATACCAGACTTGGTGACCACTCTTCGTCGCGGGCGCAAGGGAAACTTTCTGTTTGGGTGATCCAGGGCAGACATTTCGTGACGGGTGCATATGCTGACAGTTACAATTCACAGGTGCTTCGCTTTAAAGTAACGGTACCTTCAAACGACTAGGACATGCAATGAGTGAAAAGCACGAGTCACTACACTGTGAAGGTATGTCGCTCACAATCAGTAGGAGATCGGAGCAACCTGGCTGCAGATCCGTGAAACCTGGTCGCTGATGGGGGTGGGTCTGGGTCTGGTCGCCGATTCGACGCGGTGGTCGCTGATTCGACGTTTTCTCACAAAATTTGCAATGAAACCTTGATTGGAAGAGTATGTGACAAATCGAGACACTAAGGTAACAACTCTTCTTGGCAAACACGGATCAGCACAACGTGATTTCCTCATGACGCACCGCTGCCTCCTCGTGATGGCAAATTGGTTGCGTCCACAATTCCTTGGATGAGAACGTCTGAGCATGTCTGAGCCACGGACCACCTGCGCACGTGCACCGAGCTTCACAGCGGGCTTGGTGAGCTCGATACTCAAAGCCATAACAGTAGGTCTTAGAGTCAGTACACATCCTCGGTTCAATGTCAAACAGCTACAGTATGTAGAAGAGGACCTAGCCATCAAGGGCAGGGTGCCTGACCTTGAGATGCATATGTAATCCAAACATCTTGCTCAACACAACTGCTGGAGAAGCTCCATTACGCAAACGGCCACGCACAACTCTTTTTGCTGCCAAGCCTGATGTTCTTCAAACCGACTGTTTAGTAAACAAAGACTTCCCACTCGCCTGCTTTGTGGCATGGTGGAGTTATGTAACACATTGGCAAATGCCCAGTCCCAAACCTCTGCCCTCAGCCACGAGCTCTGACTTGCAGTGGTCAAGACCTCCACGGCCCAGTCAACAAATGGTTTCCCCGGTGTCACTGTATCACATTGAAGCCCAAGCCCCAGACCAAAAATGACTGTCTCAATCAGAGAGTATCGATTGGCACCTTAAAAGGTTGTCGCTTGGTCACCGGAGAGTTCATGGGTTTGCTAGACCATCTGGTAATTACGACTCAGGCTAAGGACTGAAGACCATTCCGATCAATTCCCAAATACCCCTAATGTTGGTCGAGGCAGTGTTTATAGGTGTAGGTAGGTAGGTAGGTAGGTAGGTAGGTAGGTAGGTAGGTAGGTACTAGTAGGTAGGTACTAGTAGGTAGGTACTAGTAGGTAG